AGCTCGGTAGTTCCCCAGGCCTTCCTTCCGGCCCTTGTAGATGGGTTTAACATTTGCAAGCCTCCAGTCAACTGGGCCCTCCCCAGTCAGCCAGGACTGTTGGTAAATGATGGAAAGTGGCTTGGCAAGCACTTCTGCCAGCTTCCTCAGGACCCTGGGGTGAATCTCATCTGGCTCCATAGACTTGTCTAATTTGTGTAGTAGGTTGCTAACCACCTCTTCACAGATTATGAAGGCTTCACTGTGCTCTCCATCTCTGTCTTTCTGCTCAGCTGACTGGGTACCCAGAGTACTGCTGGTTTTCCTACTAAAGACTGAGGCAAAGAAGGCATTAAGTACCTCAGCTTTTTCCTCATCCCTGGTCACTATGCTTCCCCCCACATGTACTAGAGGGGGGAGACTCTCCTTAGTTCTCCTTTTGTTGCCAATGTATTTATAGAAACCGTTTTCATCGTCTTTAACAGCACTAGCTAGATTAAGTTCCAGCTGCGTTTTGGCCCTTCTAATTTTCTCCTTGCACAGCCTTACGGTAGTCCTGTACTCCTCCTGAGACGCCATAAATTCTCTTATTTTTCCTGAACTCGAGCCAGAGCCTAAATTCTTCAGGCTTTGTATCCTTTATTTTGAGGGGAAAATTCTTACTACAATCTTTAGAACTGTCCAAGGACTCTTTAGTCTGAAAGCAGTTTTCTGATTTTCTTCACATTGCCAGGCATGAAAAATCTGATCCAGCCCTAAATAATGCTGAACTACTAGTAATCAAAGTCAGGTGTCGTAGTCTACCTAGTGTGCAACCTAATCACTGTGATTCTTTCATTTCAGAGAAGAACAAGTGTATGAATGTCCAGATTACATAACTGCAGGCCCCAATTCATGCTACTTCGATAAAAAGCACACCTCTTTCTGGACCATATACAATATTACTGTGAAGGCAACTAATGAAATGGGAAGTAACATATCTGAACCTCATTACGTGGATGTGACTTACATAGGTAAGAGATTAAAAGTATTTTCTGTGGAAACAAATAATTCAAAATTATAGGTTTTGACACAAGAATTTTAATTTCAGCTCTTCTCATATATAGTATTATATCCAAGTTAAAAACTCCTTCAGAACAAATGAGATCTGGTGTAATAATAAATCCATAATCATCCCTCTACCATTTGATTTTCAAAGGAAGCCTAAAAATGCTAAAAGCTTTAAAATTACATTCAAGTAACCATTATTGGTTTTATGTATTTCTTTCACTCAACCCTTAAGAAACATCATTCAGCTAAAATTTTTTTCCACTCTACCAGCAACTGAAATAAAATTGATCTTTTAACTAATAATACTTAAATTTGATTACCTAAAAAGTAGTTTTCAGACCCATTGAAGCTGAATTAGTGCTTTTGATAGGAGTGTACTAATAATCTCTTTTCTTAGACTTTTTTCCACAGAATGACTGTGGACAAGTATTTAGGTTTGTTTTTTTTCTAAGGGAATGGAACATTACCACCAATAACTATTTTGTTATCAAGGATCTGGCTGACAGGAGCATGGCACCTGAAAAAGGGCTGCTGGAAAAAAAGGCTTTACAGTTTACTTCCATGACCTGACTGACTTGATGAAGCTTTGCATCAGACAGTGGTAAAATACATGCAAGCAGAAGCTCCATCTTTGAACTGAGGAAGCTGCAAGCTTGACTGTAGCAGAAACCTGCATTCCATTTTGGTTTATTTTTGACATATAAACAGGTCTTAATATTACTGGTTTGTTTTCTTTTTTAATATCCTTATGTATGCATGTAGGGATTATGCTGTTCTGTTTTCTGAATGTGAAAGATGGGGAGGTGTGGGGCAAGTCTCATCAGTGTTTTCAGCATTCCTAAACATACACACAAACTTTGATAAGATTATAGCAAACCACAGTTTTCATAACACAGCATTAAAGATGCCAACTTTGAAACATAGTTGTGGGGAAAAACAAAAATAAATGGTAATGTAAAAAGAACTTATTTCTGGTGATAAATTATTAAGGCAAATTTCAACCTTAATTCAATAGATTTACTGTTCTTCATTTTTTTCTTCAAATTCACAATCCATGCTTACTATATCAGGAAACTCTTAATCCCTGTGTTCCAGCACCAGTTCTAAATTACTAGACACAATGGAGGTGGCAACTATTTAATATTTCTTCCTAAGATGCAAGGAAAAAATAATTCAGCCTCTTATTGTCAGTTCTTTTATTTTAACAGTACAGCCAGATCCTCCTGTCAATGTAACTCTGGAATTAAAAAAGCCAATAAATAGAAAACCATATCTGGTCTTGACTTGGTCTCCACCCCCACTGGCTGATGTCAGATCTGGATGGCTTACCCTTGAATATGAGTTACGACTAAAGCCTGAAGAAGGAGAGGAATGGGAGGTAAGGACGTTGCAAGATTCTGCTAGATTATGCTTTCTGGTCAATTAGATTTTGTGAGCCAGGTCTCATGCCTGAATATCATGATGCAGTTACACTGAATAGTTCATAATTTTTCGAAATTGCTTGTGTGATCTATGATTTCCTACTGAGAATACTGGTATCTCAGATGTTATTGTGTGATAGCAAGCAATAAAGTACTTATTTTTAATTGTGGGCGTTATATATTAATCATATTGGCATTACAGTTTAAATTGTCCATGCTCATTTAAGCAAGTTTCTTTTGTGATAATTGGTTCTTAATCACAAGCACTTCTTAGCTTACAGAAAGCTTTGCTTGACATTATGTAAAATAATTTTAAATGTGTACAAATAGCCAAAATAGCCAAAATGTGCACAAATAGCCAAATATTAATAATTGTCTATAGCCAGGATCTGCAACTCAAACAACTAGGTGGAAGATTAGAGACTCCGGCTATTGATATTTGGCTGCATCTTCTTCTTGTCTGCTGCAATACTTCCCAGCCATCTCTGTACCTCCTCCTTCCTTCCAAATGCTAATCCGAAGATCCAATCCCACATTCCTTCTTTTCTCTCTGCAGTTTCTTCTTCCATGTCTGTTTCTGTCTTCCTTCTCCTCTTCTCACCATTGTATTTCCCACCATTACCACAGTTCCTTCATGTCTGCCATATGCTCATGATGTGTTTTTGTAATTTAATTTGCACAGTATACCTGAGCCAGATCTTATTCTCACTGAATTATGTTAGAAACCTGAACTACAGAAAGATATGTACCATTATTCCATGCCTGCATAACAGTTATTAGGAAGCTATCCAGATTAATTCTATATTCCTAACTTGGTTATCAAAACTTAAACCTACCTGTGTTTTTAATAGAAAAATGTCTCAATTTTATATGCATTTTATGATTTTTATTTAATTTCCAGACTATTTTTGTTGGACAGCAAACACAATACAAAATGTTTAGCTTAAATCCTGGAAAGAAATACTTTGTACAGATTCACTGCAAACCAGACCACCATGGATCATGGAGTGAATGGAGCTCAGAAAAGCACATCCAGATCCCTACTGGTGAGTGGGCAGACATTCCTTTAGTAATTGCTATTATGTGGTAGTTGATGCAGTACTTTTGTTAGCTGTTCATGGCACCCATGCAAATTGACATCCCACAGGACAGGTAAGAACATCATTGCTAAGGTCTCTGGGTCTCTGCAACATACCCAATTAGCTTTCCTCTGAGTTACTTTTTCAAGTTAAGAAGGTGAATAATTTTCCCTTTCTGTTCATTGCCTCATTTGTTTTCATGATGGTAGTTTTCAATTAAAAAAATACCAGTAAGAATAACCAGTAACCAGTATTAAAAGTGCTACATAGACAGTAAAGAGTGACTACCTTCAGACAGTAATAGCTCTTCATTACTCTTTATATGGAATTAATTTCAAATGAACACCTCAGTGTAAAAAGTGTCATATTACAGTGGAAATCCTTAAAAATATCTAGTCCTAGATAATTTAATCCACCATTTAATTAATCGTATTATATGTATTTGATAATTAAACTACTATAGTATTGGCATAATTGGATTTGAGCCCAATTGCTGTAACTGGCTTTGACAAAATTTCCCTCTTTGTACATTTT